CTAAATAGTCTGAATGTTCAGTGCTGTTGTTTCGATGAGGGGCTCACCTGCATCATTGAGCCATTTCTCCAGCAGTGGCTTCAGCTTGCACATGTTCTTAAAGCTTAGGTTGAGAGCTTCAAAGCGGGAGATGGTGGTCTGACTGAAGTCGTTGCCATACAGCTTCCCCATGGCCAAACCCACATCACCCTGGAGGAGAGACGAAAGAACAAACGGTTTAACACAAGACAAAACACATCATTCAATGCTATAGCGTATCTAGCACACGCACCTACGCACACACACATGCTGTGGTTGTCTCCTCCTACCTGTGTGAAGCCCAGTTTGATGCGTCTCTGTTTGAAAGTGCGGGCAAACTGTTCCAGTTCCTCCAGGTCACTGGGCTCCTCTGGGTGAGCAGTCACTGAGGGTACCGTGGTCACGCCTCCACCGCCACTCACCTCCAGACACTTATCTCGCTGCAGCGGGGATGGCTGTAGAGGAGTGAAAGTGAAAATATTTTTCACTGGTGCAAATACCAGACTTTCCTTTTCCACTGACTAAGGTATGAAAGTTTCCTCCTACCTGTGCTTGGAGTCCCATTCTAGTTTGAGCAGAGAGCAGGCTCCCTTGGTTTTGCTGAGGTAGCGGAATAAGATTTGGTGTTGAAAGGAGTCCTGAAAGAAAAGAAGAAGAAGAAGCATTAGCAAGTGTAAATAGATTTAAAATAAAGGCAGATTTTGTGTTTACAAGTATAAGTTTTTGTGTTTGAAAAGTGCCTGCCCACCTTGCTGGCCCTGCTGTGCCTGTGGGAGGAGGAACTGGGCAGGAGATGGGAGTGGGTGACCAGGCACCAACACTAACTGCTGAAGCTGAAGCAACTGCTGAATGTCCTGTTCAATCAAGGGAGAATGAACAGATCAGAGACAATCATTTCTTTAATTTCTGAGAAAAAAATAAATAAATTAGAGACACATATAAAAAGGAAAAGAAGCAGATTCGGCTGAACAGAACTCGTAGAAGCAGGATGAAAAGTGTATTGTTGTTATATCGCGTGACTCAGAGAGGAGAAAAGTCAAATGTGTGCATTTTCCCAACGTGGAAACTGTGAATCATCAAATACACAACAGACGTGCTAGAAAGATAGTTCCGTGAAATATTAGCGGCCTCTTTATGAAGACATCGTAAAATGGCTTTTATTGGAAGTCGGTACCTGGGCGGTAAGCTGAATTGGCTGGGAAAGGGTAAGCTGGGGTGGAGGAGGTGGGACAGGGACGCTTTGGACTGTCTGTTCCTGTGTGCTCTGTCCCTGTCCCTGGGACTGTGGCTGAGCCTGCTGCCCCGTTTGTCCCGCTTGCTGCTGCTGCTGCTGCTGCTGCTGTTGCTGCTGGGCTTGCTGATTTGCTGCTGCAGCTGCCTGAGCTTGCTGATTGGCTTGGGCGGCTGCATGGGCGGCATGAGCTGCATGGGCTGCATTGGACTGCTGAACAGCTGCAGCCAGGAGTTGCGCCTGAGCCTGCTGCAGCAACAACTGCTGCTGTGCCGGCAACAGAGCTGTCAACTGGTGAAGAGGAAGAGGAGAGGAGAGGAGAGGAGCGCACAGGAAAGACAAGGAAGGAAACAAAGTCTTAAAAAAAAAAAAAAAAAAAAAAGCAGCATAAGAAAAGCAAGAAGCGAGATAAAAAAGCAAAGCAAGGTTTTTCTTTTGTGTGCGTATGTTGCGTGTCTGTCTCACCCCTGCTAGTTGGGAGCCGGTCAGCATGAGCTGTGTGTGTTGCAGGGCTGTCTGCGAAGGAGTCGGGCCGTGAGAGGGAGGAAGGGCCGGGGACATTTCAGCGCATTCCTCCATCTTGTTCTGGGGCGAAGACAGAGGACGGAGGGGCAAATTAAGAACATTTAATATCCAAAAAATGGAGATAATTTGTTATTTAAAAATGCAAAAATGTAAAGAGGAATTTTTATTTATTTATTTATTTATTTTTAAAAAATGACACCTACACCAATGACAACACTGGTGTTTGAGAAGTATCACCAGAAATAGGAAGACATTAATTAAATATAAACTTGTTTGTAATAATCTTTGTATTTTTTTACAGAATTAATGGTAACTGCTCTTCATTAAATTACTTTTATCGACAAGCATGTGTAGACGAAAAACAGTTTAAATTATTTTAGACAGAGTTTGACACAGTCATGGCTACTTAAACCCTTGACTTAATAAACTTTATTATATCCTCACTGCTCTACAGTCTTGGTTGGAGGAGGCTACAGTCGGTCTGGGTCTCAATGCTTATCACAGTTCAACTAAGTTTAAGAAATGAAGCGCATTAGTCATAATCTTGAATGCCAGTAATAACTATTTAAAGATTATTTAAAGTGTGTGTGCATTAGATTAGTAGGCTGATCAGAAATCTGTCTCCAGCCGGTTTCATAAAATAAGAATCTAATAATTTATTTTGGCTGAACAAAGGTTGTTTCTCCCAGGACCAGGCATGTTTAAACAAGCAGAGGGGGGGGCCTTTTTCCAGCTCACGGATTTGCATATCTCTTGTGGTATGCAAATTAGGAAGATTTTAACTCTGGGTGAAAAGTAATGTTATAGATTTATTTCAATTCGGAGGCAGAGTGCCATCACACTCCTCTGCTCGTTGTGAATCTGTTTACTCTCTAGGCCGGGCGGAGAGTCGACACATTATCAACCTCAACGTCGAACGCCACAAAAGAGCAATTCACTGCATAGAAACGAGCACAAAGCTAAGGCAGCCACACTGTCAATAAGCCTAGTGTGCGACGTTAAGAGACAAAAGATGCACAAACACAGGCCTCGGCACAGACATGCACAGGCAGTTGAGTAGCGCGGAGTCTCACACAATTGCACACTCACTTTGCTGCTGCTCAGGTTGGGTGACAGAGGAAAGGAGCTGACTTTCATTGACTGAGCCTAGAAGAGGAGAATCACACACAACCTCAGGAATTACGAAATTAATTTAAATGCCCTATATTATATCTATTGTGGCTTTTCTTTGTTGATGATATCGCTGAATTTTTAAGCGCAAAAAAAATTTGCTAAATTGCGACTGGCATTCTTTCACTATAAAACTTGCAAAAATAACGAGGAGTCAGCAGGTGAAGAAAATAATAATTTATCTTTTTTTTTTAGTGGATTTATCATGTATGTGAAAGACATGGTAGCTGAATGTAAAAAATCATGAAAGTCACAAGTACCTGGTGATTTGATTCAGGTCCATTCCGTTCTGAATCTGTGTGGGAGGGAGAGGAAAAGGTGAGAGAGCACATCTTCCTCACAGCCTATGCACGACTCTAATTTCCGATGTCATGCGCGTGCACATTTTTACATATAACATGAACGGTTTTGTGCGTGTTTATTTGCTGCCCCCCTACACCGACACATCTTACCTGTGCCCTCCAGTGGTGAGTCAGCCCCGACTTTCTCAACCTCTACTGCCTTTGACATTCTGATATCTGTAACAGGAAAACACACAGATAAATAAGTCAGTCAGGCGGATACTTTAATATGCGTCAGACCAAAAAAAAAAAGTGCAGATGAAGGCAGAATAATAGACATTGATGACAATCTAGATGACAAAAGGGGAAAGAGGATGGCCAGGGCGTTGATTTTTTAGATAGGTTAGGGTTGACTGTTTTCAGGTCACAGATTGGGCCTACACACTGTAAACCAAGCAAGAGTGTCTGAATCATTCACAAGCTGAACACAACCCACATTCATTCATTGTTTCCAGTAGCTGGTTTAACATAAGAGTAGGTTGACCCAAGGTGTTTACTTGTTCTAAATTTAAACTCAACACTTTTTCGTGGGAGTGACTTGCTACTTAAAATGTCTCGCATTGTGTGTCACTCAAGACCACATCACATCCTGGTTGATACTGTATTGGGACAGTCCCAGTGGCAGCAGTAGTGCATGGAGGTCCTAATTCTGCTTATCGCACAAACACACAAGGGCAGCAAAGAGCGCAGGAAAGATCGGAATGCAGATGATGTGAGGAGAGTTTAGAGCGAACACACAAGCGTGCAGTTATTTACATGTCTGTATCCTCCTCTGTGTGTGTGTGTGTGTGTGTGTGTGTGTGTGTAGCAGTTTTGCCTTTAGTAATCACTCAGTGGGATTATCTCATTTGAAAAGCCCTTTTGATTTGTGTGAAGCCACAAACTGTAACAAAACTTTATGTTGTGTCCACTTGAAACCTTTTCACCTCTCTTGTTCTGTTTCTGAAACACACACACACACACACACACACACACACACACAGCTACTTCCCTTTTGTGAGAACATGCAAATCTGCCCAACGACCAACTAATTATATCTCCCACCTGCATAATAAACCCTCCGTCTCCCTCCTCCTTTTTCTCTCTCCTCTTTCACTCCTCTCTCTCGCTCTCTCTCTCCATTCTTCATCCTTCTGTTTCTCATGCTGCAGATGTCACTCACAACATGGAAAAATGCAACTTATTGCGTTCATCAACACGTAACACTAAAACACACCTATACTGTGTTTCTGCGGTTCCAACAAGCAAGTGGTCAGACATGGACTTCACCATTGGGGGGCAGTAGTGGCACATGGAGTGGATGACAAACCTGCTCCACTGACCACCGCTGACCTGATGCCAATTTGAAATTACCAAGCTATTAGTTGAGTGCAATCATTAAAAAAAAAAGAAAAGACAAGGACTTATAAATAAAGAGGCGCTCCCTCATCGGAAGCACATTCAGCGGCACAAACGCGATGGTTTTAGTTGAAACAGATGTGAGAGCAGTGGACGTCTTTTTTGGGGGGGAGGGAGGAGGAAGGGGGAAGTGATGATCAACTCTGCCGCCACACTGGCTACAACACACACACACACACACACACACACTGACTACAGAATTTCCCTCAGAAATCCTAAGATAATTTGGCCACCACACATGCGGATGCAAACATCTGGTAAATTTACTGTTACGGTCAGCTTGTGGTCATTCCAACATTACACGCGGCACCCGTCTGGTGTTATATATTTGGCTATTACTGAAACCCAAAAACTGTCCAGTGTTGCTCAATTTGCAGTGAGAAACCACTGATTATGCACCGAAATAACATCTTCCTCTAAACACCCACAAAACTTTTTCTTTTCTTTTTTTTTTTTTTGTAATGTTGAAGAAATGACAACACTCAACAAAACCTACAACACACCATCACATTCGTCACATCAGGCTATGTTACATCCACATCTTCTGTGTGTGGCGGTGCAAAACCAAAATCTACTATATAAAATGACACGAAACTCATAAAGCAGCTGAAGCTCCCAAAGTGCTGCCTCTTGTGCTGCACCTCCTGCTCACAGGACACTCACGTAAGGTGTATGTTGATTCATGGTTCAAGATGGCCTACAGACAGTAGCATGGTGGATAATGTGGTCAGTAATACAGTGATGGGACAGTATATCAAGATGCTGTGTCTTTTTCTCACTTCCCCTCCCGACTTCCCCTTGTGCCGGGTTGAACGCAGAGTGCTAAACCCAACACTTACTGTCAGCGGGGCTATTAATATTAGCCTGCTCTCTCTCACTCTCTCTTTCACTCTGTCTTTTAAAACCTTCCTCTCTTCTACAGCAAACTGCTGCATACACAAGCTCACAGCTAATTCCACACAAGATTAAGCAGAGCTACATGTAATGAGCGCTTTTCTTTTTCCAGTTTTAGTACAGTTGTGACTAAATGTGCATCAGAATGAGAGGTTGGAATTTTAAAAATGACCTCCTGTTTTGTTTTTGCTCATGGGCTTAAAACTTTATTTGCCATAGGGATGAGAAACTTTTTTTTTTTTTTAAAGTGCAGAAAGTTTAATTACAGACTCGTTCATCATTAAGCTGTTACAGCGAATGCTAATCTTATAGCAAAGCTCAGGGTTTTATTCACCCTATGAGACCAATGCGCTTCACCGTACTCACTGTATCTTAAACAGAACAAATTTAATGCTGTATAATCCTTTGTCATGAATAAATGATGCAATAGAAAGGAACAAGGAACAACGGTGTCTGTGCTCAGTCTGGACTGTTTCTGTTATTCTCCTCTGGGTATTTGGCCGAGATGAAACTCCGTTGCAACCACCCTGAACCACCACCCCTCACCCCACTTCCTGATTCAGGACACAACCCCAGTGCCAAGGGGGGTGTCTGGAAACTGGAGTGATCAAACTTACTAACTACAGATTTGAAAAACCAAGCAATGCTGTAAGGTGCCGATTCTGACTACAAAAAAACGTCGTCCATGTAAAACTGAGTGTCAAAGAGTCGCCAACACCAAATACACAACTATATGACAATGAGGCAACAAGTTAAAGTCTATATTTTATGATTATAATGATAAGAGAAAAATACTAGAGTAATTTAAGAACAAAAACAGGCATTAACTGATAAGGTGAGAAGCTAAAGAAAAAATGTGAGACGTCACACAGTAGCTGGCTGACCAGCAAGGCTGTGACATTTCATAATTTCATTTCACAATTGTCTGTGCTGCCGTCATTCTTGGTTGTTTTATCAAATATAGGTTATTTTAATTTTTTAAAATTACTTAAATGCTAAATAGGATCTCATAAATATCCTTGTGAAATAAGCAGATGCTGCTGAAATACAGACAGACAACACTGCCTGAACAGAAATTTAAAAAATAAAAAGACCATACGTAATGTCTTCATAAGCTAATCGTCACCTGACAGAAAAAGTCTGATAGTTTAAACTGTATGTAGAATTCTGGGCCAGTGTAAAATATTGTTGTCACTTATTGTATTGATGCACTTTGATCAAATGAATGAGGTTGTAAGTGACGGCAAGCAGGAATACATAAACTATACTATTAATTAAAATGTCATTGTGGAGCCAAATTCAACACTTAATAATCCTAATATTCTCTCCTCAATTATTTCTTTAATTAACAAAACTGCTGAGCAGGGTAAACAAAACCTAAACTTGGCTCACACACTACCAGCAGAATGGTTCACCTTGTTCACAGCAAGTTGTCTGAGGTCACAGCGATGACCACATCGGGCCAAGAAGTGTGGTGGTGAATTTTAGGCCATGAGTCATCTTGTGCTAAATAGGTCATCAAACAAAGTTGTATCTTCTTTTTTTTTTTTTTGTATATGTATCATGACACCTAATCGTGAGGTATATGAGCTAACTGACATTTAAAAATGAATTTCTAGTAACTGGTGAGTCAGCCAACAGCCCACTGTCATCGGTCAACTGAAATAATGTTTGCCACTTCTCTCAGCTTAAATTGACCACCAAAACGAGGCCGCAGGGCAAAAAACAGCCACACTGTACTTCCCTGTATTTTTTTTTTTTCAAATTACGTTTAAATAAAAAAAGGACCATTTCAAGCATTTCCTCTTTTGCACATCTGCCTGTGTTGAAAAACAATTATCATTTAATCTAAGTGCATTTAGGGTGTGTTTTAAATTTATTGACCAAAATTTTAGCTTTGAAAATTAGCAAAGTAATAATCAGTGCAACCTTTTTATGAAGCACACTCAAAGTTATTTTCAAAGTTACATAGGAAGACACCATCTGTACACTAATGCAACAGTGCTGCAGTGCTTATCAGCTAGAAGAAAAGGTGTTAATGATAACAAATGAACCATTATCACAGCACAGAAAAACACCGGTGAGACATACAAGCGCCAACATTGATTTTTTCATTAGTAGTATTTTACAACTGACTTTAAAAAAAAAAAATGTTTACTGTATTCTTCTCAAGCTTATTTGGCATCCAATATTCAGTTGACACACACACACAGAAACACACACACACACACAGAGGCATGCTACGAGTTGGTGAGGTGTCTGACCTTTCCCTCTGCCTGCGACAGGCGTCCACTCATCCATCCATCCCTCCATCCTTTCACATCGTTCGCTGCGTACCACCTCTCACCCTTTGATGTTGTCTAATTAGCTGAGCTTGTTAGACCCAGTGGCTTTAATCAGCAGCAGAGACACAGTTCTTTTTCGCTCTCACACACACACACTCACACACACATAACACACACACACAGTTCCCTTTAGCAAAGCTTAATTGGTCTTGGTAAATGAAGGCCAGAATAAAGAGAGGGCTGCACAGACAGTCACTCACCTGGCAACCACATACTGGAGAAGTCCTTTGCTGCTATTGCTGCTGTCTTCGTCATATCTGTGTGAGAGTGTGTGTGCGCTACCTAAAGAAAAACTCTCACTCACTCACCCTCTCTCTGTCGCTCTCTAACCAAAAGGAGGAGTGTATTAAATCATATGGTTGAGAGAATTACTCTCCCTCCCTCTTTTCTGTCTCTCACACACACTCAGTGACAGTCCACACCCCCAAAGCCACACCTCCTCCCCACATCCTGCAACACAACAGGAAGTAAGCCTCAAAAGAGTAGGAACTTAAAGGAGAGAAAAATACAAGATTAAAAAAAAAAAAGAAAGAAAGAAGAAAAAGAAGAAGAAGAAGAAAGGGGGACACGCAAGAGGTTAGAGAGTGGGAGGGTGAGTGAGTGAGGAGATTGAACAGATAGATGAGGTGAAAAAGAGGGGGATGACTGGTACCGTCGGAAAGTGATGGCGCGGCTGGAAACACACACTCACACACACGCTCCCTTACTCACACATGCGAGAGAAAAACAGCAGCTTTGACGTTCTGACCGAAGATTTGTCTAATGTGTGATCCGTCGTATATTCAAAAACTCAACTGAGCATTTTAACTAGTTCTCTGCTTTTGTTTCCCCTGAGTTAAGACCCTGGCCACGGCCGTGTTTGCGTCTGAACCGAGTGTTGCCATCAGCACGTACGTCTGTGGGTGTAAGGTGGTCTGTCGAGGGAGGTCGTCGCCGACAGGAGAATATGTGAGACATCCTCAGCTAAGTTTAACACACACACGGCTCCACTCTAACCCGAGCGGAAGGAAAAAGTCAGTCACAATCACTGACTGTACCACTGACCACGCCACACTGTGGGCTGCACAGCGATATACCACATAAACCCACACCGTGAATCTGTACACGTGATGGGTAGATGTGGCGTGAAAGTGGAACGTTGTAGATAAAGCAGCCGTTATCGATGTAACCCACTGGGATTAAAATGCCGAGCACAAAACAAGTCTTAAATGATCTTGCGAGAGCAGAATGTTTCAGCAGAAGTAAGACCTGCATTTCCAGATCTGAATGTGTCGAGGTGAATGCTCTGGCAGTAGCATGAAGTGACCACTAGGTGGCACTCTTGAATGTCAAAACCTGAACAGGTTCCAGCCACAGGAGAGAAATTGTGGTAGACCGCTCATCAACACCCCCCACCCCCCGTCCTTCTCCCTTGGTCCGAGTACACTAATTCAAAAGCTAACGGCAGCAGAGTTCCCAAGTTTAACCTTATAAATACTTTATGTGGTGATTTACAACAGCCCAATGTACTCCCGGATAGACGCTCAGGAAGAAGTTGATTCAGCGCTGCACTGGAGGTGCTGTTATACGGAGACATGTTTTTGTTGTTGTTGTTGTTTTTAAATCTGTCCTAAAGTACATATGAAAGACTGATGCTCCGACTATTTAATCATATATTCACCATGAAGATAACATCAGCATGTAAAGGTCGATCAGAGTTTTCCCACAAACTGACACAAACCTTTTTGTCAAAAAGCTGTATTCAGGTGAAATGACGAACCAATTCATCAATTCAATAAAATGAAATAAAACAAAAAAAAACCATGTGGTAACCATGGTAATAATCCATTTTGGTCTTTTTCAAGTGAAAGCAGCAAATGGAAAACTTCAAAAATATGAAGAGTTGCTGTTTTTCTTTGCTGTGAAGGCTGTAACCTTCACTGTTGAAATGATTTCCCCTAATTAACCACATTTTATAGATAAACAATTCATTAATTCGTTTAGAAAATTACCTGCAGATTAATTCACAGTGAATATAATCATGCCAGTCCTTGCTAGACTTTCTTTGCCAGTGCTTTCAGTTTCATAGTTCTTATCAAACAAACACCGAATGCCACAGTCAGGTACCGACAGGTCACCAACAAAGACTCAAGGCCTCTGACAAATCTTCAGTTTTGCCGGTTCATCTGGCAAGATTATGTACATGATCATGTTTCTGCCTTCATTAGAGCTGAACAGCGTATTTGTTTGTCTGTCTGTAAGTAATCAGTGGGGACAGTGAGTGAGTGTCTTTGTGGATTGGCTGGGCTTGTCCAAGGACAGTGACAGACTGCGTGTCGGGGAGGGGGCGGTTCTCCGGGTCACAGGTCATGTGGGCAGCCTGGCTTTGGCCGTGACCTTTGTTCAAACCCCAATCTACCAACATAAGTACCAAAGTGTGTCTCTTTGTGTGTGTCTCTTTGTGTGTGTGTGTGTGTGTGTGTGAATGCAGAATGCATAGCTGTTTGAGTAGCCCCAATAGGTGGCTGGTGAATCTGTGTGCTTTGTGTAAGTGTGTTGTACAGTTCATGGCCATGGGGGGCCTTGCTGCCCCAAGGAGGTCTGAGCCTTGGTTACCATGGAGACCAGACCTAGCAACACTCCAGCATCGTCATTGAGATGATATTGGGCGAGCAGCAAATGTATCACAACTTAAGTCATATCGCATTGTAATTTTTTTTTTTTTAAAATATTAACACTGAAAATAAAAAAAATTAAAAAAACATCCAAGTGAACAGCTGAGCATCTTTTTTGATTAGTTACTATTTAGGAATATGTTTATGCAGAGTGTGTGTCCGTCACCACTAGAAGTTGTGTTTGTAACAAAATAAAAACACACATCTATATACATGCACACAATCTGATAGTGGGGCTCCGGGGAGGAGGATGGGAGGAGGCTGAGGCCTCTAGAGCACCATCAATCACTCCACTGTCAGAGCGTGAGGGAGAGGCAGGGAGGCAGGATTGGGGGTTACTAAGAGAGAGAGAGAAAGAGAAAGAGGAACAGAGGAACAGTAAAGAGGAAAAAAAAAAAGGAAGAAATGAAGGAGCTGAGAAAGAGTGACAGGAATGAAGGTGCGCAATAAAGGAAGAAGAATAAAAAGATTGGAGAAAACATGTTAGCTGGGGGTAAAGAAGGTGGGAGGAGACAGCGTGTATAATAGGTCATTGCAGGGACAATTCAGAGGTCTCCAAACCAGTTCAGTATCCTCCATGGCTCGGCCCTCCTATATCTAGTGCAGCCTCAGGCCTGGAGCACACACTGGCTCTAATTCATATAATCCATCATATTCCTCTTCTTATAGACGGGGACAGAGCACGGTACAGTGATGGACCCAACAAATCCTATACACAGCCCAACAGCAAGACTCTATTATACAAGGTGAGAGATTTAAAATAAAGTCAATGTATAGGTGTGTGTGTGTGTGTGTCTGTGTGTGTGAGTGCAGGTGTAGCCCCATGAGGAGTCGCAGGATTATAAACAGTAGGTCTAGCACTGTGGAGACTACAGAGGTTGAGGTTTTGTATGAGAAGCAGCAGGGGCTAAAACACACTCACACTGTTGGCTACCCTGGGACCAGCACCATCTCAGCCACCTACACCTTTACAACACCTATTCCTCTCCTGTCCTAATACCTATCAATTGCTCCTTTTCCTCTGGCCCCTCTGCACCTCCATCCTTCTTTCACACCATTCCCCTCCTCTCTATATCATCTCGGCAGCCCATAGGGAGCCGGGTTTGTCTAGACAGACACCGCTCTCTCCCACGGCGCTCCCAAGGTTGAAGCTCAAATCTTTATCTTCGCTCATCTCACCCTCTCCTTCTTCTTCTTCTTTTGGCACAGGAGTAAAGGGTCTGCAGGGAGAGATTGGCGGCCTTCATCACTGGCTCAAGGAGCACTGAGGCCACTCTACAACAAACCGCTCACTGACACTGACAGAGAAGGCTATTATGTGGCATTAGATGTCATACTTTCCCTAGGAAAATACAAACAGATGGGAGTAATTCAATTATCACAAACGTAGTTTTGGGGGCTTCTTTTTGTCCGACTGTCCTTTTAGTCACCTCGGCCTGTTTTTCACCTACTCTGCCTCTCTTCCTTCAAACCCTCTCATCATCTCCCCACTTTTTTTTTTATGCGACCTTCCCCCTTTCCTTTCGTCAATTCAAACTTTCTCTTCCTCCCTGTCTCTCCCTTCCTCTCTCAGACCTGCTGGTCAGCAGCAGCTGTGACATCACTGGCCACTGTTCTCTGCTCGGATTGGACACTTGGCCACGTTGCCAGGCAACAGCAGTGAAAGGTCTCAGTGTGAGTGTGTGTGTGTGGCGTGTGCGTGCATGTATGCGTTTATGTCTGTTTATAGCTACGTGAGTGAAAGGTGTGTGAGCGATTTTCCTCGCCTTGCCCTTTATCTGTGCATGAAGAATGATCAGAACAGATCTACTTCTGTGCTTTATCTCAGATCAAAGCATGTAGATGATTGGGCTGCCTCACCACTCTCCTCCACCACAGAAGAAGAGGAATGTTTGTGCGTCGTGCTAATGAAAAAGAAAGATGGTACGAGTGTGTGTGCATGTCAGTATCTGCACTTGCGTCGAACCAAATAAATGTGTATGTTCGTGTCGAATATGGGTACGTGTCTGTATGTTGTGTTTTATGTGTGTGTGTGTGTGTGTGTGTGTGTGTGTGTGTGTGTGTAAGCCCCCGGGAGCGGGTGGTTATTGTATCTGACACAGCGGCTCTTTCTCGCGCCTCATATTTCTGGGCCGATCGATTCCTCTGACTCCCGACAAGACAATAATCGCACCTCCCTCTCTCACTCCATCACTACCATTATTACTGACCTCCCCAGGGAACGAATAGGGTGGAGGGAGGGAGGGAGAGAGAGAGATGAGGAAGGAAGGAGGGATGGAGCGAGAGAGGGTGAGGAATGATAGAGGGACAAAGAGTTGACAAAATGAGCCTATGATGATGAAAAAGCAAAAAGGGACAAGGATGAAAATGAGACAGGAAGAGTTGGCTAGAAAAGGAGGACAGCAGCGGGGTGGAAAAGAAAAAAAGACAGATGGAGAGAGGGAGTTAGGTGGAGAGCAAAGAATTTAAGATAAAGTGATGGAGGGATGAAGTCTGAAGAAAAAATACAGTAGGAAAGATAAGGATGTGAGGTGATAGAGTCAAAGAAAGAATGAGAGAAAGCAAAAGCATAGGAAGGAGGCTGGCGCATGAGTTTTAAAAAAAAAAGAAGCAAGCGGTATAGATCATGGTGGGAAAAGAAAGGAGGACACAAGTTGGCTGAACTGAGGGACAATAACGGAGAAAATTAGTGAGGGAG